AGCTAATTTTTTGTATTTTTAGTAGAGACGGGGTTTCACCATGTTGACCAGGATGGTCTCGATCTCTTGACCTTGTGATCCACCTGCCTCGGCCTCCCAAAGTGCTGGGATTACAGGCGTGAGCCACCGCGCCTGGCCAGCTTTTTAAATTTTTTTTTATTTTTTTTTGAGATGGAGTCTCGCTCTGTCGCCCAGGCTGGAATGCAGTGGCGTGATCTTGCCTCACTGCAACCTCCGCCTCTGGGTTCAAGCAATTCTCCTGCCTCAGCCTCCCAAGTAGTTGGAACTGCATATTACTGCCACCACACCCAGCTAATTTTTGTATTTTTGGTAGAGACAGGGTTTTACCATGTTGGCCAGAATGGTCTTGATCTCTTGACCTCATGATCCACCCACCTCCGCCTCCCAAAGTGTTGGGATTACAGGTGTGAGCCACCACATCCAGCTGGGACAACTTTAATAGAAGAGAAAGTTAAGGAAATTTCCTGGAAGGCAGAGCAGAAAGACGAGGAAGACGAGTTCAAGAGGTTCAGAATCCATGAATTCTATCAAACATTTAAGAAAGAAATAATACCAATTTTACACAAGCTTTTTTGGAAAATAAAGGAAAAAAGAACACTTCTCAATTCATTTTGAAGACAGCATGACCCTAATAGCAAATCCTGACAAAGATACTACAAGAAAATTTTAGACTACCATCCCTCACGCACACAGATACAAACACCCCTAACAAAATACCAACAAATCAAATCCAGCAATTTATAAAACAATAATACCTCATGACTGAGGGGTTTTATTTCAGGAATACATGGTTGGTTTGATGTTTCATTTGTATAATTCACCATATTGGCCAAATCAAGAAGAAAAAAACTACGACCAGTGTTGTTTAGAAAAGTATTGATAAAATAAATAGTACCTGAACAACAAAATGATCATAGTTATTATGGAAAAGCTAGAAACTTAGTTAGACCCCTTTACACTTATTTTATGGTTAAGAATAGATTTTTGTTTGTTTGCTTGCTTGTTGTAAAATTTCATGGTGTGGGGGGCATGGGCACCGTAGTCTTTTGCTTACCTCAGGAATGATGATCATGGGACTCTAGCCGTTCGTATGATTGTAGGTCATTTAGACTTCCCTGGTCATCTTTCAAGTGAGAAAAAGAACAGATGTCCTTCATAAGGGGTTGAGGACTGGAACACTGGGTTAGAACCACACCCACGATCTGACCTTAAATTCTGCTTTTTTTTTTTTTTTTTAGATGGAGTTTCGCTCTTGTTGCGCAGGTGGGAGTACAATGGCGCGATCTTGGCTCACAGGAACCTCCCACTCCCAGGTTCAAGCAATTCTCCAGCCTCAGCCACCCAAAAGTAGCTGTGATTTACAGGTGCCTCCCACCATGCCCGTCTAATTTGGATTTTACCATGTTGGCCACACTGATCTCAAACTCCTGATCTCAGGTGATCCACCTGCCCCAGCCTCCCAAAGTGCTGAGATTACAGGGGTGAGCAACCACACCAGCCTCTGATCTTAAATTCTATGAAATGTCATTGGTAGATATAATTGGCAGATTATATCTGCAGACAAATAAAGGTTATTACTTCACTGAATTTTCCCAGCCTACAGATAGAGAATCTAATTAAGATAGCCAGCCATCTGCTAGATTAGGCCATATAGCTCCCTTTTGACTAGCTGGGTCATATTTGACTTGACTACATTGTTTTTCTACTGTGGTTTTTCTACCCACCCTTCAGCCCTGGAGACAGTCCCTGGACCTCCATAAGCCCATTTAAGGATTAACATTCATGATGCCCCAATCCTGCCTACATTACTGTCATTCGTGTGTGTTTAAAAACAAAACAAAACACAAAAGAAATAAGATCAGGCATGGTGGCTCATGCCTGTAGTCCCAGCACTTTGGGAGGCAGAGGTGGGTGGATTCTGAGATCAGGAGTTCAAGCCCAGCCTGGCCAGCATGATGAAACCCCATCTTTCCTAAAAATACACAAGATTAGCCAGGCATGGTGGTACACGCCAGTAATCCCAGCTAGACGGGATGTTGGGGCAGGAGAATCACTTGAACCCAGGAGGTGGAGGTTGCAGTGAACCAAGATTGTGCCACTGTACTCCAGACTGGGCAAGAGAGAGCAATACTCCATCTCAAAATAAAAATCAAATCAAATCAAATCATTGTGATTTACGTTTGTTTCTTTTCTTTCCTTTTTTTTTTTTTTTTTTTTTTTTTTTTTTGTGGGGCCTTTCTCTTTTTTTCGGTTTTGAGTGCAGTGCCACAATCTCTACTCACTAGAGCCTCCACCTCCTGGGTTCAAGTGATTCTCCTGCCTTCCTGCCTCGGCCTCCCAAGTAGCTGGGATTACAGGTGCCTGCCACCACGCCTGGCTAATTTCTGTATTTTTAGTAGAGACGGAGTTTTCATCATGTTGACCAGCCTGGTCTTGAACTCTTGACCACAAGTGATCCACCTACCACATTCTCCCAAAGTGCTGGGATTACAGATGTGAGCCACTGTGGCCGGCTCACTTGTTTCATTTTTATTCCACAGCATCCCATGAAGAAGGTATTACTAGGCTCCTTACCATCCAGATGAGGAATCCATACCCCTAGCAGGACCTGATCTCTCCCCATATTCCTCTTTACTGCTTTATGCTCTTGTCTTCTTCCTGTTTTAGAAGGCACGCCCATGTTTGACTCACATCTTACTCCTTTAGCACTCCATCTGTTGCATGCCTGTTGCATAGTAGGTCTTAGTAAACATCTACTGCATGGAATTTGATAAACATAAAGTATGGCCCTCCTATTCATCCTCAGTTATCCAATAAGCCCTTCTAAACCAAACAGCCTGGAAAATGAATTACACATTCTGGCATGAATCACCAGGCCACCTCACCCATGATAAATAGGTCAGAGGGGATTTCATAGTGTTTCTTTCCTGGAAACTGCTCCACTCCTCCCTTAGGAGGCAGCATTTTATGGTAGGAAACTCTTGGCTTCTGAAAGCAGATAGGCTGTGTGTCAATGTCCATTCTTAGATAAGTTATTTAGTTTCTCTAAGCCTGAGCTTCCTCATCTGCAACATATATTTTTGTGTGTGAAATGAGATACTATGTATAAGCTTTCATTTCCTATCCCTCATGCTTCTGTCTTCCCCTCTCTGTGAGAACAAGATGTGGGCCAGGCGCATGGTGGCTCACACCTATAATTTCGGCACTTTGGGAGGCTGAGGTGGGAGGATTGGTTGAGGCCAGAAGTCCAAAATCAGCCCAGGCAACATAGAGGGACCCTGTCTCTACAAAATTTTTTTAAAAAAATTACCTGGGTGTGGTGATATGTGCCTCTAGTCCCAGCTACTTGGGAGGCTGAAGTGGGAGAATCACTTGAGCCCAGGAGGTCAAGGCTGCAATGAGCTATGATAGTGCCACATCCTAGGCAACAGAGCAAAACCTTGTCTCAAAAAGAGTAAGAAAGAGAAAGAGGGAGGGAGGGAGGGAGGGAGGGAAGGAGGAAGGAAGGAAGGAAGGAAGGAAGGAAGGAAGGAAGGAAGGAAGGGTAAATGTGGGGGAAAAGGAGGCTGCAGGACAAGAATTAGGGGAACCAGGAGTGAGTGACAATGTGGAGGTTAGCGGTCCTGAGCTAGAATCCCAGTCCTGCTTCCTATAAATTGAGACTCTCATTCCTGAAACGGACTGGCTGTCTTGCAGAGTTTATAAGGATTATAAGAGATAACCATGTGACTTATCTAGCACACAGTAGGTACCCCATGAATAATAGCTATTTCAAGGTAATCTAACACATTTACCTTTTTCTCATTTTGCTACCCACTCTGTCCCCAAAGCAAACTCCAACTAACTCCTTCCAAACCCCGCTCCCTTCACCCCGCTCTTTTGAACACTTCTACTCTCTTGTCCACCCATAGGTACTGCAGCCAAGCCAGAGGGAAAACAGAGCCAAAGAAAACATTAAAGGAAATAAATTTAAATCAACAACTTTGAGAAAAATATTTAAGTTCTAATGAGAGAGAGGGAGATTGAGAGAGAGAAGAGAGAAAGCCTTTGTTAAACTGGGTAACTCCAAATCCCAGGAAAGTAGAAATGGGAATTTTAAAAAAAGTATGATATATCAGTGGAACGGAAAGAAATCACCAGGTTTATGTCTGAGTGTGTGACTATGGGCTCCAGTTTTCCCGGATTGTATGTCCCTATGTCCGAGTCAGGGACGAGGGAAGAGGAAGGATTAAGAAAAGTAAAAGGAAAAAGCAGTGTGGTTCAACAGTTCCTACAGGTTTTGTTGTTGTTGTTTTTAAAGTTTGCCCCACAGTATGACCAGCGCTGCTCGCGGGGACGGCGGGGACACCTCTGGTCTCAAATGAGTGCTGGGAAGGAGGGGACTTGCTCCGGGCGCAAGTTTGTGCAGAAGCCCGGCCGGCCTGGGCTCTGAATCCGCGGGTCCGGGGTTCTGCACCCCGGCGTCGGCTTCCTCAACCGCAGAGCGGCTCCCAGAAGCCTCCGGGTGGTCGCGAGGATGCTCTAAACCCGGGGACTACGGGCGCGCCCGGCTTCCCTCGCCCAGCCCGAGGGAGCCTCCCGGGCCTTCGCCAGCTCCCAGCGATCAGAACTCCGGCGCCCGCAGGCTCCCGGGGGTACCTCGCGCGGCCCGCCCAGTTCTCGCGCCCGCCCCCGCCCCCCGCGCCCCACGTGACTTCCTGGCAGCCGCCGGGACTGCCCCTCTGGGTTCGGTTTCGTTTCCTCGGCTGCCTCTCTCGGAGCGCGGGTACAGCAGTCGCGTCCCGACCCCTTGGAGCGCCATGGCGGAGCTGTGCCCTCTGGCCGAGGAGCTGTCGTGCTCCATCTGCCTGGAGCCCTTCAAGGAGCCGGTCACCACTCCGTGCGGCCACAACTTCTGCGGGTCGTGCCTGAACGAGACGTGGGCAGTCCTGGGCTCGCCGTACTTGTGTCCTCAGTGCCGTGCCGTCTACCACGCGCGACCGCAGCTGCACAAGAACACGGTGCTGTGCAACGTGGTGGAGCAGTTCCTGCAGGCCGACCTGGCCCGGGAGACACCTGCCACCGACGGCTGGACGCCGCCCGCCCGCGCCTCCGCACCCAGCGCAGGCACCGAGGTGGCCTGCGACCACTGCCTGAAGGAGGCCGCCGTGAAGACGTGCCTGGTGTGCATGGCCTCCTTCTGCCAGAAGCACCTGCAGCCGCACTTCGAGAGCCCCACCTTCCAGGACCACCCGCTGCAGTCGCCCATTCGCGACCTGCTGCGCCGCAAATGTCCCCAGCACAACCGGCTGAGGGAATTTTTCTGCCCTGAGCACAGTGAGTGCATCTGCCACATCTGCCTGGTGGAGCATAAGGCCTGCTCTCCCGCGTCCTTCAGCCAGGCCAGCGCCGACCTGGAGGTAGGAAATGGCCCGGGAGGGCGCAGAGGGCAGCCTGGGCCTGCCAGGTCGTGCAGAGGGGCCCCATCACCTCTGCCACACTCTGGATATGCCCTGGGGAGATGGGCCTGAATTCGAGGAGTAGAAAAGGGCTGGGAGATTATATAGTCCCCTCCCATCATCCATGAAGACAGGTTAGGTTACTGGCCGTAAGCCTGTCATTGTCTGATGGTGTTTCTTTCTTTCTTTCTTTTTGAGACAGTTTCTCTCTTGTTACCCAGGCTGGAGTGCAATGGCGCAATCTCGGCTCACCGCAACCTCCACCTCCTGGGTTCAGGCAATTCTCCTGCCTCTGAGTAGCTGGGACTACAGGCACGCGCCACCACGCCCAGCGAAATTTTCGTATTTTTAGTAGAGACGGGGTTTCACCATGTTGACCAGGATGGTCTCGATTTCTTGACCTCGTGATCCACCCGCCTCAGCCTCCCAAAGTGCTGGGATTACAGGTGTGAGCCACCGTGCCCGGCTATTTTTATTTTTTTTGAGACAGGGTCTTGCTCCTCTCACCCAAACTGGAGTGCAGTGGCAGAATCACAGCTTACTGCAGCCTTGACTTCCCGGGTTTAAGGGATCATCCTACCTCAGCCTCAAGAGTAGCTGGGACCGCAGCATCCCAAATAGTTGGGACTACAGTCTCCCCAATTTTTGTACTTTTTTGTAGAGATGGCGTTTCACCATGTGGCCCAGGCTGATCTCATATTCCCAAGCTCAAGCGATCTGCCCACCTCGGCCTTCTAAAGTGCTAGGATTAAAGGCGTGTGCCACTGCGCCCCACTATCTGATGGTGTTTAGTAGAGGGTTTTGAATATCAGTTATGAACCTTGGAGGTTACTCCTGTTCCCTCACTAAATCCTGGTGGCACCCAGAAGGTGGATATGATTAGTTTCATTTTACAGTTGAGGATACTGAGGTCCAGAGAAATGAACTTAGCCTGACCTAATGCAGTAAATGGCCACGCAGGCATTGCTTCCAGGTTGGTTTGATTTCATAGGCTGCAGGTTCTCCTCATGAACCAGCCTCGTATCCAGGTCCATACAGCTCAGAGCACCAAACAGTCCCGAAGCTTGAGGTCACGTAAGCAAAAGCCTGTGGTGGGCCGGAGAGTTCTGTGATCAGGGAGGGTTGTTATTAGAGGATTGGGGCGGGGGGTGGGCAGTGTCCCCGTAGTCAGCTGGATCAGAGCCACAGGGAGAGCCAACACTCTTGCACCATAGTGTCCTCTGTCCTGGCCGTGTGACTTTGAGCACAGAGTTTGGCCGCTGGACCCGGGTCCTTACCAGAATGGTAAGCCAGTGGGACTAGGTGGATTCCTAAGGGCCTTTCAGATCTGCAATGTTTTTAGGTGGTTTGGGGATCATACCTTCCCCTTGTGGACTCAAAGCAGAGGCTGAAATCAAACCACCTTTTGTTACATCAGTCTAAGATCCAAAGCATGGCCTGATTTCATTTCATTCTCACAGCACCTTCAGGGAGAACAAGGCCAGTCTTCATGTTGTCAAAGGAGACAGTAGCCTGAGCAAGGTCAGAGTTGGGGGTCTGTGTCCAGCTTTGTGTAGCATATAAGCTTCGCTTTTTTTTTCTTTTAGAGACAGGGTCTTGCTGTGTTGCCTAGGCTGTTCTTGAACTTCTGGCCTCAAAGGATCCTCCCATCTCAGCCTCCTGAGTAGCTGGGACTACAGTTGTGCCACCACACCTGGCTATAAACTCGGCTTTTTTTTCTTCTTTTAGAGACAGGATCTTACTCTGTCACCCAGGCTGGAGTACAGGGGGGTGATCACAGCTCACTGTAACCTCAAACTCCTGGGCTCAGGTGATCCTCCCGCCTTAGCCTCCTGAGTTGATAGTACTACAAATATGAGCCACCACACCTGGCTAAGTTTTAAAAAATTCTTTTGTAAAGACAGGATCTCACTATGTTGCCCAGGCTGGTCTTGAACTCCTGCCCTCAACGCTCCTCCCATCTCAGTCTCCCGAGTAGCTGGGACTACAGGTGTGCCACCACGCCTGGCTATAAACTCATATTTATTTTTTTAATCTTTTCTTTTAGAGACAGGTTTTCACTCTGTCACCCAGACTGAAGTACAGTGGCATGATCATAGCTCACTATAACCTTAAACTCTGTTCTCAGGGGATCCTTCTGCCTCAGCCTCCTGAGCAGCAAGGACTACAGGCCTGCACCACCACACCCAGCTAATATTTTAAAACATTTTTTTGTAGAGATGGGATCTCACTATCTTGTCCAGGCTGGTCTTCAACTCCTGGCCTCAAGGGATCCTCCCACCTCAGTCTCCCAAAGTGCTGGGATTACAGGTGTGAGCCAGGCGCCTTGCCTAAACTCTGCTGTTTAATCCTTGCAATAGGCCTTCCTTTCTCAATGCCTGCCCCCTGCTGTCCTGACTTGTTGAGTCCTATAACAGGTCTGCTTTTTGAGCCCTGCTACTGCTGCTCATCACTGTTGGCAGAGGCAGTCTCAGCTGGGCAATGCCCTTGGCCTTGGAGGCTGGGTTGTCTTGGCCACTGGTGTGGGCAGACTTGAGACTCTGGTACCTCCTATGTGGAAGACCCAAGTCTCCAGTCTGTGAAGGGATCCTCAGAATTTCAAAAAGTTCTTTACCTTCGATTAGGGGGTTATTGCTGCTACCAAAGTTTTTGGGCCACTTTCCTTTGATCTAGAGTCGTGTGGGCACCATTTGTGATGAGGGTTCTGCCGCGTTTTTTTGATTAACGGGGCATAAAATCTTTCAAAATATAGGGCTTAGGGAGCGGTGCTATGAGCAGCTCTTGGAAGTGAAGCAGTTGGCAGCCTTGGGGTGTTCTGAGGTCTCTTCCTGCTCTGAGGCCCACAAGGCCAGATGTATCTAAGCCTGGTCTTTGGCCCACACTTTATCTTGGCCACCGTTAGAGGCCAGGTCGAAGGGCAATATCACAGAGGTCAAGTTTGAAACATCATGAGCAACTTGGGCTTTTCAGATTGAGTTAGTGTAGCCTTGGTCCCTGCCTCCAACTCCTACATGTGACTGTCACTGGGTTGTTCACATCCAGATTCAAAATCAGGATCTGCCCAGAATATCTTGGGTGGAGTTGAAGAGTCTGGAAAGTGGAAGAGAGGGCCAGAGTGTGTTGTGCCTGCTAGTTAGGGAAAGGAAATTTTTTTTTCTAGAAATCTCCAGCATGCTCAGTTTGGGCATGCGTCTATGATTTTAATACCAGGATCTAAGCTGTGCCAGTTACCAGTAGTGTAGCTGGGGCAAGTCCCTTAATTGCTGCGTCCCTTAGTGTCGTTGTCTGTAAAGGTTGGATAATTCCTACCTCATAGTGTTGTTCTTAGCTTTAGGTAAGTTAATATATGTAAAGCACTAGAACAGTGTCTGGCATACAGTAAGTGCATAATAAATACTAGCTGCTGTTATTATGGTGGTTGTGGTGATTTTTCTTCCCATTTCTGTGCCCCAATATTTCATCTAGCAGGGAGGTAGGAAACTCAGATATTGATGAAGAAAATTAATAGAAATCAGATGAGGATGATATTAGCTTCCTTCATATACAATATGTCTTTGTTGCTGGAGGTGGCTAGGGCGTAGCAACTCTGAATTAGCTTAATTTCCTTTCAGGGACTGGGCAGATTTGCAGCTGGGTTTCAGCTCCTGTGAGCCGCTTCTTTTTTTTTTTTTTTTTTTTTTTTTGAGACAGGGTTTCACTTTGTCACCCAGGCTGGAATGCAGTGATGCTATCTCAGCTTAATGCAGCCTCAACCTCCCGGGTTCAAGTGATCCTACTGCCTCAGCCCCCTAAGTAGCTGGTACTACAGGTGTGCACCACCACGCCTGGCAAATTTTTGTATTTTTGGTAGGGACAGTGTTTTGCCATGTTGCCCAAGCTGGTCTTGAACTTCTAAGCCGAAATGATCCACCCGCCTGGGCCTCCTAAAGTTCTAGGGTTACAGGTGTGAGCCACTGCACCTGGCTGGCTGCTTCGTCTTATTCCCAGTCCTTGCTGGTCCCAGCCTGCAGTGAGCCTTGGACTCTGATTTCTGTCTCCCTGCCCTGTGAGGCTGACAAAGGCTCCCAAGTTTGTTCTGGGATTGGCAGATGCCTCTGGAGAGAACATTCTAGATATCAGGCTTATTTCTCTGGGCTCTCTTCCCTCTTCTCCTGGACCTTGGCTTCTTAATCCTCTGCTTGATTGACTCCAGCATCTTTTAGCAGATCCCCTCCCTGCCCGATTATTTGGACTGCTTTCCTGGCTGTTTGCAGTGGGAGGGTTGGTCTGAGTGGCCCCACCTGCTGTCCCTGCTCATTCTGTTCCTGTGTAAGCTTGGCCACCTTGCTGTCCTCCTTGCCAGGGTTTCATTGGCTGTAAAATGAGTAGAGAAGAAACTCATAATAATATAAGCTGAAGCTGACATTTAGCATTTTTTTCCTAAGATCCAGGCATTGGGCTGAGTACTTACCTTGTTTCAATTAATCCTCCCAATAACCCTATGATCTGGGGACAGTTGTTTCTATTTTGTATCCAAGATAACTGAGGTGAAGGACACAGTTGCACAGCTGGGAATTGGGACTGGAACACTGCTCTGTACTGTCCTCTGAAAAGGATAAAGGGAGGTAGTAAGTATTAGAATGCCTCAAAAACCTCCAAGCAGGCAGGACTCGGGTGACAGGACTTGGGGTGGCAAGACTTGGTGGAGTGGAAGAGGAAGGGATCTATCCTGTGGGATAGATCCAGGGATGGCTTCTGGTGGGGCTGGGCTCAAGAGGTGCCTTCTCACCCTCATTTGCTTTTCCTGCAGGCCACCCTGAGGCACAAAGTGAGTGTCATGTACAGTCAGATCAACGGGGCGTCGAGAGCGCTGGATGATGTGAGGGCCAGGCAGCAGGATATTCGGGTGAGTGGCGGGGCTCCCCAATGCCAGCCCTACCCTGTGGCTCCCTCGGCCTCCAGGCAGGACAGGCATGGCTCTGACCATGGCAAGGCTGGTGTTGGGTGCACTCACAGTGTCAGGATGAAACACCAACCTTGCAAAGCATGCAGACAGCTGCATGTCCAAGAGAGATCCTTTGCAAGCCCAAGCCGAAAATTAGCTATAAACCACACTGTGGGGAAATCATTATAAATTTGGGTTAAAAAGTAGTAATTCAGAAAAATGGATATAATATAAAGTGGGAGAAAAAGGGGAAGCAAAAGTATATACCTCCTAGGGTTGCACCCGTTTATAAAAAGGAAGTATATTAGTTTCATAGGGCTACTGTAACAAATTGCCGCAAACTCGGTGGCCTACAACAACAGAAGTGTACTCTGGTAGAGCTCTGGAGGCCAGAAGTCCAAAATCAAGATGTTGGCGTGGCCACACTCCCGAAGTCTCTAGGGCAGAAGGCTTCCTTGCCTCTTACAGCTTCTGGTAGCTCAGGTATTCGACTGTATCATTCCAATCTCTGTCTCTGTCTTCACATATCTGTCTCTCCCTCCCTCAGTGTCTTCCATCTCCAATAAGGACCCTTGTCAATGGATTCAGGGACCACCTAGGTAATCAAGGATGACCGAATCTCAAAATCTTTAATTGCACCCGCAAATACCTCTTTCCTACGTACACTTACATTCACAGGTTCTGGTATACAGACATGACTTTTGGGGCCCAGGATTTAACCCATTAAAGAGAGTAAAGGAAAAAAAAAAAACTGAAAAGGAATATTATAGAAGAATCTAGAAGTGTTGGAGTGGTAAATTAGGAATGGTTTTGTTCCCTCTGGTTTTCAGATTTCCAGTACATTTAAATTGCCTTTAAATGGGAAGATCAGATTTTTACCCTGTTTCAGAGCTGCAGCATCCAATTTTACTGCAGCAGTTTTGGTTTAATTAGATGAGGTCTGGGTTAGAATACCAGCTCTGTCACATACTAACCTATGTCACTTTGGTCTTGTTGATAGATCTCTGAGCCTTCATTTTCCCATTTGCACAATGGAAACACAACTTCTTTCTGAAGAGGTTGCACATGAAAGTACCTGCATTGGCTAGAGGGCAGCTTAAACTGCTGTAACAAAGATACACCAAAATTCAGAGGCTTAAATGTGATCAAAGTATTGTCCCAACCTCTTTGGTTGAAGCTGGGTTACCATTACACTTTTGTTCTAGCCTGTGAGAAAAGGGACAAAGAGGAAGTGGAGGACAACGAGCGATTTCCCTTTACACAAGTGACACACTGTTGCACATATCACTCCTAGTCATGTGTCAGTGGAAGGAGCTAGTCATGTCGCCTAGCCTAGCTACAGGGGACACTGAGAAATGTAGTCTGGGTTGCCACATGCCCAGAAGAAACTCCAGGAATGTTCTCTTACCAAAAGGAAAAAGGGGAAAATGAACACCGGGGACACTTGTAGTCACATTAGATGTTGCACAGTAAAAGACTGGCAAAGAAGCCTGGGCGTGGTGGCTCATGCCTGTAATCCCAGCACTTTGGGAGGCCAAGGCGGATGAATCACCTGAGGTCAGGAGTTCAAGACCAGCCTGGCCAACATGATGAAACCCCATCTTTACTACAAATACAAAAAATTAGCCAGGTGTGGTGGCGCACACCTGTTGTTCCAGCTACTCGGGAGGCCGAGGCGGGAGAATCTCTTGAACCCAGGAGGCAGAAGTTGCAGTGAGCCGAGATCGTGTTGTTGCACTCCAGCCTGGGTAATGAGAGCAAAACTCCATCTCAAAAAAAAAAAAAAGATTGGTGAAGAAATACTTGACTTCCTCTCTTCCAGTCTGCTGTCCTTCTTGTGCGTTTTTTCTTTGTTATGTTTGATTCTGAGCTATCGTCTTAGTCCATTTTCTGCAGCTATAACAGAATTCCATAGACTGGGTATTTGCAAAGAAAAGTTTATTTGGTCACAGTTCTAGAGGCTGAGAGGTCCAAGAGCATGCTTCCGGCATCTGGTAAGGATCATCCATGGCGGAAGGATGGAAGGCAGGAGAGTGAGACAGGAAAGAGGAGGACAGACCCCTGTGAGAACAACATGAATCCATTCATGAGGACAGAACCCTCACGACCTAATCACCTCAATGGCACTTAAATCTCAACATGAGCTTTGGAGGAGACATTCAAACCATAGCAGCTATTGAGGCTATCCAAGATGGGAAACAAAATTGCAGCTGCTAAAGCAGTGCTGTCCAGCAGAAATACAGTGGGAGTGCAGATAACTTTAAATGAATTTGAATAGTATATTAGGCTTATTTTATTTATTTATCTTTTTTGGAGACAGGTCTTACTCTGTCATCCAGGCTGGAGTGCAGTGGAACAATCATAGCTCACTGCAGCTTCGAACTCCTGGGCTTAAGTAATCCTCCTGACTCAGCCTACCCCCCGTTTCCACCCCACACCTCCCACTAGCTAGGAATAGTAATTTTTTATAGGAATAATAATTTTTATTATTATATTTTTTATAATAATATTATAGGAATAATTTTTTATTTTTATTTGTGTAGAGAAGGGATCTCACTATGTTGCCCAGGTTGGTCTTGAACTCCTAGCCTCAAGTGATCCTCCTGCCTCGGTCTCCTAAGATGCTGGGATTATGAGCCTCAACCACTGCACCTGGCTGAGATTAATTTTAATATTACAGTTTATTTAATTCAGTATATCTGAAATATTTTTCTTTCAACTTATCAGTTTTAAAGCAGTAAAATACTTTACATGCCTTTTATTGGTATGAAGCTTTTGAAAGCCAGTATGTATTTTACACTCACGTTGAGTCTCAGTTTGGACTAGCCACATTTCAGGTGCTCAGTAGCCACATGTAGCAAGTGGTTATATTATTGGAAAGTACAGTTCTAGAGCATGATATTCTCAGAAATTTTCCAAAGCTGCATCCTGACTTTTATTTTTAAAAATTGCCCATGAACTGCCTTTAGCTTAAGAAATAAAATATCATTGCGGCAGCCCCTCCCGTCTGTTTCTCCCTTATTCTTTTTTTTTTGTTTTTGAGACGGAGTCTCACTCTGTCGCCCAGGCTGTGGTGCAACGGTGTGATCTCGGCTCACTGCAACCTCTGCCTCCTGGGTTCAAGCAATTCTCCTGACTCAGCCTCCCAGGTAGCTGGGACAATGGGTGTGCACCACCACGCCCAGCTAATTTTTGTATTTTTAGTAGAGATGGGTTTCACCATGTTGGCCAGCATGGTCTCAATCTCTTGACCTTGTGATCTGCTCGCCTCAGTCTTCCAAAATGCTGGGATTACAGGCATGAGCCACTGTGCCTGGCCCTGTTTCTCCCTTATTCCATCCCCTTCCTCTCTTCCAGAAGTTACCATTCTCCTGAATTTATTCATTCATTCCTACACGTTTCTTTGTGCATGTTACCATTCTGCTTGTTTCTAACCTGTATTGAAAGAGCACCAGATGGTCGGTTTTCTGCAAGTTGTTTTTCTCTCATGGAGATTCATCCATGCATAGCTCCAGTTTATTAATTTTCATAACTGTTTAGTATTCCATCCTATGAATAGTTCCCAGTCTGTGCATCAAGTCTTCCACCAATGGATGTTCAGGTTGATTCCGGGTTTTTGCTACTTCAGACAGTGCTGCCTGTGAACATTCTTGTGCATGTCTCTGGGGCAGGTGGCTGTGAGTTTTTGTAGCATATATTACTAAAACTGGAGTTGCTGAGTCATGGCATATGAGCACCTCCAAATGTACCAGAGTTTACCAAGTTGCTCTCCAAAGTGGCTTGTTCTCCCAGAAAGTGCAGGTAAGAGTTCCCAGAACTCCACATCTTACCAACGCTTGGGGCTGCAGCCTCAGCATTTTTGCCCATTTGATGAGCGCCCTCTTACCTTGGCCCTCTCAGATGACTGCAAACAAAAAGGTGGAGCAGCTACGACACGAATACATGGAAATGAAGGCTCTCCTGGATGCCTCAGAGACCACCTTGACATGGAAGATAAAGGAGGAGGAGAAGAGGGTCAACACCAAGTTGGACAGCATTTATCAGATTCTCCTCAAGAAGAAGAGTGAGATTCAGACACTGAAGGAGGAGATTGAACGGGGCCTGACCAAGGGGGATGAGTTCGAGTTTCTGGAGGTGGGTTGCCAGGAGGCATTGTTGAACGTTTTTTTTGCCTGATGTCATGCTGTTGATGATTGGGCCCTCAAGGAGCTGGGGACTGGAAGAGGTCGCTGGAAGCATCCCTGAGACACATGCTGTATTAGTTTTCTGAGCTGGGTAACAACTTAACACAAATGCAGGGGCTTCAAAAAACACATATGAGGCCGGGCGCGGTGGCTCAAGCCTGTAATCCCAGCACTTTGGGAGGCCGAGGCGGGTGGATCACGAGGTCAAGAGATCGAGACCATCCTGGTCAACATGGTGAAACCCCGTCTCTACTAAAAATACAAAAAATTAGCTGGGCATGGTGGCACATGTCTGTAATCCCAGCTACTCAGGAGGCTGAGGCAGGAGAATTGCCTGAACCCAGGAGACGGAGGTTGCGGTGAGCCGAGATCGCGCCATTGCACTCCAGCCTGGGTAACAAGAGCGAAACTCCGTCTCAAAAAAAAAAAAAAAAAAAAAAAACAACACGTATGTATTCTTTCAGAGTTTCTGTGGCTCAGAAATCTGGACATGGCTTTATGGTTGGCCTGTATAGGGTCTCACCAGGCTACAGTCTGCAAGGGATTGCCAGGCTGTTTCTTTTGGAGCTCAGGGTTGTCTTCCAGGCTAATGTGGTTGCTGGCAGAATTTAGTTCCTTATGGTTGTAGGAATGAGGCCCCCTCTTTCTTGCCGGCTGTCTCGGCTTGATAGCTAACTTCTTCAAGGCCAGCATGAGAATTTCTCCTCTAGAAAGATGCAGTCCTTCTTTTTTTTTTTTGTGGGGGATGTCTTGCATTGGAGCAATCCCCCTTTTAAGGGCTTTTAACCTGATTAAGTCAGGGCCACCCCTGACTTAATTATCTAATTCCCCTTTTGATGAACTAAAAATCACTTGATTTGAGATGCTAATTACACCTGCAATATTCCATCCCCTTTGCCATATAACATAACGTAATCACAGGAGTGGCAACATCCCATTTCATTCAACACAGCCCATGCTCAAAGGGAGGGCATTGTACAAGGTATGTACATCAATCGGGGTGGGGGCTTGAGGGCCATCTTAGAATGTTGCCTACCACACAATCTGCCACTTCCTCTCATCCTTTCTACAGCAGCCCCTGGAAGTGTGTGTTAGTCCCTTTTGCATTGCTATAAGGGAGCACCTAAGACTGAGTTATTTATTTATTTATATAGAGATGGAGTTTTGCTCTTGTCACTCAGACTGGAGTGCGGTGGCATGATCTTGGCTCCTGCAACCTCTGCCTCCCAGATTCAAGTGATTCTCCTGCCTCAGCCTCCTGAGTAGCTGGGATTTATAGGCGTGAGCCACCACACCCAGCTAATTTTTGTTAGTAGACACGGGGTTTCACCATGTTGGCCAGGGTAGTCTCGAACTTCTGATGTCAGGTGATCCACCCGCCTTGGCCTCCCAAAGTGCTGAGATTATAGGCATGAGCCACTGTGCCTGGCCAGACTGAGTAATTTATAAAGAAAAGGGGTTTATTTGGCTCACAGTTCTACAGGTTTTACAAGCGTGGCACCAGCATCTGTTTGGCTTTTGGTGAGGCCTTTGGTGAGGAAACTTTTATTCATGGCAGAAGGTGAAGCTGGAAGCAGCCATGCCACAGCATTAGAGAGGGAGCAAGAGACAGAGGAGGAAGGGCCAGTCTCCTTTAAACAACCAGCTCATGCAAGAACTCACCTGTTACCATGGGGCGGGCACCAAGCCATGCATGGGGGATCCACCCCCATGACCCAAACACCTCCCACCAGGCCCCACCTCCAACACTGGGGATCACATTCCAACATAAGATTTGGAGGGGACGAACATCCAGACTGTATCAAGATGTCTTTCTAAAGCATGGGCCCCCTGCTGTTTCTGGCCTCATGTGCCTTGGCACGGCTCGCAGGGTCCCGGGCTGAGGGACATGAGGGGCCCTGCCTCTGTCAGCAGCCTCATCTCTTATTGTCCGTCCCTGGCTCATGCCCTCTGCATTCACCATTCCCTAGACACAGCAGGTATGGGTGAGGTGCCATGCTGGACATTCTTGCCTCGTGAGTCGTGTCCTTCCAGGGCCTTGGATCCCATTGCCATGCCGTGTCTTTGTTCCCAAGCATGCCACACTGCTGCTACAGTAGCACTGGGTGATGTTTCAGACATGCTTTTTTTGTGGCTGTTTGGCTGTAAGCCCATCTCTTATCACCCTCCTTCATCCTTCTGCCAATCTGACCAGCACATGGCAGAGTGCTTGGCATATAGTGGTGTGCCCCATTGATTGAGTGACCTGCAACTATACCTGAATGGCCCAGATTCCTTCTTTGGATTGGGGGGTGGGGAGACAGTGCAGGAGTAAATGGGAACCTTCTCTCTGTGCACTGAGGCCTGATAAGTGCCTAGTCTGGATGGCATTAAGCTTCATCCCAAGTGCTCATTCATGTCTTTTGGAGCAGCTGCCCCAAGCTCTCAAAGGATCTGGGTGCACATCTGGGCCTCTTGATACTGTAAAACCCTATTTTGCCTCAAAGTTTGGGACTTCCAGGAAGACCCTCCCTTCTCACAAGATGTTCCTTGGCTGGATTCCACATCCCGCAAGATATCCCTATCTGTTATCAGAACGTGTGATTAGAGCCGTTTTCCTAGGATCGGGGTAGTCTTGAGTTTCCTGTGCTTTTCCACCCTCATGTGGACAAGTGGAAAGAGCATCATCCTGGGGGCTCAGAAGACCTCAGTCCCAGCTGTGTCTGTGACACCAGCTAGCAGAGTTCCTGGCAGGCTTCTTGCCATGACTAGATCTCAGTTTCCCTGTCAGTAAGATGAGTGACCTCTGGGGTCCCTTCCAGCTTCAGATTACTGTGTCTTCAAGTGGCATTTTAACTCCTGGTGACCTCTGGCCTGTAATTTGAACAGGTCAGTTGGACTTAGCACTCACAGGCATAGGGGAGAGCCTCCTGGGGTTTGTGAGGACTGGGCCCAGGCCCTGGTATCACCAGAGCTGCCTGCACTAACCCCCTGGCATGTTCCAGAAAGCATCCAAGCTGCGAGGAATCTCAACAAAGCCAGTCTACGTCCCCAAGGTGGAACTGAACCACGAGCTGATAAAAGGCATCCAGCAGAGCACCTTAGACCTCAAAACCGAGTTGAAGCGGTGCATCAGGCAGCTCCAGGAGCCCACCACCAGCTCAGGTGACCTTAGCAGCCCCCTATGCTGCCCTCTGCAGAGCCCTGCCACCTGGTGGGTCCCCTCAGTGTTTTGGGATGGGAGATCGGGGCCTGATCCCGAGCACTGGGGCCTGAGTTTCAGGGCTCCTGAAATATCCGCCTTCCATCTGGAGGCTGGTGGGGATTCTGCTTCATTCCGACCTTTAGAATCTTTCCTAAAGCATTTTTGAGGACTTGATGTTAATACTTGGACTTTCTGGACAGATAGACTCTTTTTGCCTGTGATCTTGAGGCCAACTTGGATGGGTTTTAAATGGACTTGGGCTTGTTACTGTGTTTGGTGGGGGAATGGCTCATTTGGAGGAGAAATCTGGAATTCCTCTTTGACACCCCCTTTTCATCACCCCATATGCAATGCATTGCCAAATTTCACTTCTTTCAGTCTCCCTACTTAGTCTGCTGGTCCAAGCGCTGCTTGTCGTTACTGTATCTGTCGCCGTCACCTGTCACCCCATGACTGTGGCAGCTTCCTAAACCCTCTGCGTCTGCCACTGCAGCCAGAGAGAGATTTTCATGATGCAGAGTTCATCTCCTGGGACCTATTTGGCTTTGCCCTCTCACTAGGCTTCCCATTACTCCCAGAGGTGGACCAAACCCTTGACCCTGGCCTAGAAGCCAGGTCAGGCCCTGTTGGTCTCTCTCCAGCCCCAAGGTGCCCCCCAACTCCTCCGATGCGTCTCTGTGCATTCAGTTCCTCAAATATGCAAAACTTCCTGCCGCAGGGCCTTTGTGTGTGCTCCTCCCCACTCTCCAGAAGGCTTGAACTCCTCCATCTTCACTAAGTAACTCCTCTCACCCTTCAGAGATCACCGAAACATTACATTTATAGCCAGCCTCCCCTGCCGCTGCTCCCACTCCTCAGACTGGGCCTGGGGTCCTGATTATCCTCTCGGGGCTCTTGCATGGGCAGCATCGTACCCTTCCTCAGGATCCCCGTAGATCTCCCTCACTAGGTTGTGATCTCTATCAAGGCAGGGGCTATTTAGAGACAGGATCTTGCTCTGTCACCCAGGCTGAAGTGCAATGGTGTGATTATAGTTCACTGTAACCTCAAACTCCTAGGCTCAAGCAGTCCTCCTGCTTCAGCCTCCCGATTAGCTAAGACTATAGATACACACCATCATGCCTGGCTAATTACATTTTTCTTTTTTTTGAGACAGAGTCTGGCTTTGTTGCCTTGACTGGAGTGCAGTGGTATGATCGGCAAAGCGATAGGTGGTTGGTGTGTGGGAGGAGGGGAGAGAAAAAGCAGTGGGAAAGGAACAAGTGTTGATCCAGCCTCTGCCACACACCAGGCACCTTGATCTCATTCAGGAGTCACATCAACCATGAGCAAGGTGAAGCCATCTCCACTGTATGCTTGAAGAAGCCAAAGTTCAGAGAAGTCTCAGAGGCCCTAGAACTGGGTGCTGGTGGAAAACAGATGTGACCCTCACTACATTTTAAGTCAGAAAAAAGAGGGAACGCACCAAATTGGTCCTTAGATCAGCTTGTTTGTAGCTCTTGTAAATGATGAGATGGGGAAGGTTGGAGGAAAGGGCTGTCTACGTAAACCCTCTGCCCGCCCAGCCACCCATGGCAAAGCCGGCTTCTCAGGTCAGTGAGAGGAGCTGCACACACTGAGCCCTTCTTCTCTGACACAGGTGAGCCTGGAGAGCATGACTCAGCGTCCACATACAAATCTGCACGCCCTGGGAAGAAGACCCCAAGTAAGTAGCCCCACCCCTGTCACCATGGCAACAGCATGGCTGTGGCTGGCCTGGGCTCTGGCCAAGTCATTTACGGCCCATCCCAAGTCACTGTGGGGCCCTGGACCTCAGCAGGAGAAAAGTTGGCGGCAGCCTCCACCGTTGGGGGTTGCAGGGCTGTTGCAGGAGCTCCCCTTTCCATCAGCATTGCATGTTTGGGCTGCCTGGAACAGCAAGATTCCTGAAGCTGGCTTGTTTTAAGAAATATTTGCTATACCCTAGTCCTTGGGTAGAGCCTTGAGCAAGGAGACTGACAGCTGTCCAGGAAGGGCGGAGGCTAAACCTCCTTGGCAGCTCAGCAATGTTCAGCCTCTGGGTTGTAATGGGCTTCTGCTGTTACCATGTTTGTCAACCTTTTTTTTTTTCTCACTGTTACAATCCTCCTGCTTTATCTTCTGAACTGTTTTTTTTCCTAATTGCAACCCATGAAATTTTAATACCACACATCTACTGCATTACTGTTTATGTTCTGTGCTTTTACACATAAAAAGAATAATCGTTTTTTACTCCCCCTCCTCCCCCAATAATCCATTTTTGCCCTCCTAGTGGTGCTATCCCCTTTGTTGGGCAGGCACGCACCATTGACATGGGGCCCGGGGGAAAGAGTGGTCCTGTTTCCTTGTCTGCAAATGTGGACAATAGTGATATTGAGGCCACAGGATGATTGTGAGTGATGAGGGGACACTGATTGTGAGAGCTCTTTATGAGCTGTACACCACTGAGATGTCCATGTACCACTGAGATGTCCATATGCCACTGAGATGTCTGTGTGCCACTGAGATGTCCATGTGCCACTGAGAGGTCCGTGTGCCCCTGAGATATCCGTGTGCCACTGAGAGGTCCATGTGCCATTGAGATGTCCGTGTGCCACTGAGATGTCCGTGTGCCCCTGAGAGGTCCGTGTGCCCTTGAGATGTCCGTGTGCCACTGAGAGGTCCGTGTGCCACTGAGATGTCCATGTGCCACTGAGATGTCCATGTGCCACTGAGAGGTCTATGTGCCACTGAGAGGTCCATGTGCCACTGAGAGGTCCATGTGCCCCTGAGATGTCCATGTGCCACTGAGAGGTCCATTGCCACTGAGATATCCATGTACCACTGAAATCTTCATATACCACTGAAATGTCAGCTGTCATTGCTTCCCTGAAAAGTTGGCGTGAACCCAGGAGGGCTGGCCGCGCACTGCTGGTGTTGTGGGGAATGAGAGAGCTGGGTTAGCTCTTTGTTGTTTCTTGTGCTTAGTGTTTAGGTCAACTGTAGCAGGCAGAGTGTGGTATTGGTCCCTGAATGGAACCGATTCAGGGCTGGGATGCCTTGTGCAGATAGAGGAAGGAGCCCTTAGCTAGGCAGAAAACTTCGAAGGGTACTTTGTGTGAAAAGGGAAGTGAAAAAAGTACTGTTGGCCTGTGTCCTTCCCCAGTCACCTTCCTCTGAAACCTCCTCCCTCGGTATGAATGAGCTGGGGATGCCGGCCAGCAGGTAGGTGTGTTACCCAGTGAGGCAAGGGCCTCCTCCTGGAGAATAGAGAGTTAAGTTTGGGAATGAATCAAGGCTCCTCTAGGCTGAAATGGGGAAATAGGGGAGCAGGGGTGGACTAGTCCCAGTGCAGAGAGATGGCTAAGGGTAGGTGATGAGGGAGGGGCCTGTGCCCTAGATTGATGTCACAGCCTGGGCCTCCCAGGATGCTGGTCCACAGGGAGTGGGTGGGAAAGTGGCAGAAGGTGAGGAAATAGGGCAGAGAATGAGCAATTGTGAGCAGTGTGACTTTGAAATAGGAGAAGTGGTAAGCCAGGGGGCTTTGTGGTGTGGCAGAGGTCTGGTGGGGAGGTAGAGGGTGGTAGGAGAGAGCAGGGTTTATCTGTGATGTCAGATGTCCACAGGTGGGCAGGGATAGGATTTTTCATTCCAGTGTTGTGGAAGGTGGCAAAGAAGGAACCTGGGATATTCTAGCCCACTTGAGTGGACTTTGGATTTACCTGGAGGGCTTGTATACCGCAGATTGCTGAGTCTCACCCCTAGACTTTCTGAATCAGCAGCTGTGGCTTGGAGCCCAAGAATTTGCATTTATTTTTTATTTTTTAAGAAACAGCGTCTTGCTCTTTTGCCCAGGCTGGAGTGTAGTGGGGCGAACAGAACTCATTGCAGCCTCGAACTCCTGGGCTCAAGTGATCCTCCCGCCTTCGCCTCTTGAGTAGTTGGGACTATAGGCATGTGCCACCAAGCCAGGCTAATTAAAAAAAAATTTTTTTTGTAGAGATGGAATATTGATATGTTGTCCAGGCTGATCTTGAACTCCTGGCCTCCAACAGTCCTCCGCCTCAGCCTCCTAAAGTACTGGGATTATAGGAGTAACCTACAGGGCCTGACAAATAATTTGAATTTCTTGGGGATTCTCCAGTGATGTCACTGCAACTGGCTTGGACACCAGACTTTGAGAATCACTATTTTAGCCAAATTCAGTTCTTGTAGGTACACACTCTAGATATTTTCAAAGGACTTGGCAAGCATTCTTTTTTTTTTTTTTTGAGACAGGGTCTCATTTTGTCGCCCAGGCCGG